GGTCGGCCCCGGCTCCAGGGGTCTGCAGCCTGTGCTGCCCGCCCCGGACCCACCGTGCCCCACCGCGCCGCGCTCGCCCGTCTTGTTTGCAAATCTCGAAGAGCTGACTCGGAACTCCGGAGGGATCTATTCTTTGGCAGCCGCTGAGGATGCGGCCGCAAGACTGCACACTCACCCACACCTGGGAATTGCCCGAGCGCCTACAGGGCAGCAGCGCGGCCCTTTGTACCGGCCTGCCCCTGGGCCTCGGGTCATTTCCCGTCGTTTCCCGTGTGGGTGGGCCTGGCCGACTTTGCACCTTGTTGACTACCCAGGCAGACCCCTCCTGTGTGTCACTGACTCCTGGTGGGAAGCCCCTTAAGGTGGAGTGCCTCTGTTTTCTGAATTGGCCCTTAGACTTTTGAATTTGGAAAATCCAGATGATGGTTAGTCTGAGCCAAGGACTTTCCTGCTGCTTAAGTGGCCCTGGGACCTCCCAAGGTCATCGTCCTGTGTCAGACACCATCACTGACAGGAATGGAGACCTCGCTTCTGCAGCTGATTCCTGTTTGGATGGTACTGGCTAGGAGAAAGTTCTGCTTTTGTATGTTTTCAATTTATTTTACTCATGATAGCCTAGGCCCTCCGGAGGCCTTCTCAGGACCCAAACCCCTTTCATCAGCCCTGTGTGTCTTGTGTTCAGATCTGCCCAGGGACACAAACCTGCAGTTGGCCGTGTGGCTTCCAGCACTGTGGGTTCGGTTTGCTGTGGAATGCACCACTGCGGTTGGGCTGAAAGTTCTGCCAGTTCAATACCCCGTTTAAAACTTTCTGAATATTTACCCTCTGGCCTCGGTTCTGCCCTTCGGTCTCTGAACTAGTCTGGTGTCTCTTCCAGATAACTTTTTAAATATTTGAAGGCAACCTGATGTTATCTAACCACAGCCCCCCTTATCACTAAATATGTCACCTTCCAGCTTCCTGGTGCTTTCTCTGAAGCCCTTCCACCCAGGCTGGACTCTGTTCTCTTTTTCATTCCAGCCAGAGCAGTCCTGGGGGTTCAGGAATGGCCGAGCCTCCCCCACCACCAGCCTGAAGAGGTCACACTGAGGCCTGGTTTCTCTGAACTGAATCTTGCCTGCAGACATGGAGTCCACAGCATACTCTCTCAATCTGACCCTGAAAGAAGAGGAGGAAGAAGAAGAAATTCAGAGCAGGGAACTAGAGGACGGCCCCGCGGATATGCAGAAGGTCCGGATCTGCTCAGAGGGCGGATGGGTAAGTAAGGAGGTGTGAGGTGCAGGCCTGGGAACCAGGCTTACGTCCCCTCCTCCAGCAGCAGAGGGAGTCTAAGTAGTCCACTCAGTGCGTGTATTCCCGAGCAGTCAGCCTGTGGCTTTAAGACGCAGCGTGCAGAATGGAGAAGGTGGTTATTGTTCTTTTAGCCCTGTTGCTATCACTGCTTCTAGAAAGTCCTAGGAGCTGAGGCCTTGTCTCTTTTCCCCTCCACCCGCTCAATGCCAGGCACGTTGTAGGCACCACATAAATGTTCGCTGGCTTACTGCCAGTCGCAGGTAACTGTTTCGGATAAGAGGACATTGAGCTGACGTGAGGAAAGGCTCTGCAGGCCGGTTCTGTGCAAGCGCCTCCTGGAATTGTTCACACGGCATGACCAGCGGGTCTGGACTGCGTGCAGGCAGCAGAGAGTTTGGCGATTCTGCGTGTGCAGAGCGTGTGGTAGAAGTGGAGACGACTTACACAAATGTCAGTGTGACAGATGGAGTTCTGTAGGGACTTCGTGGTGGTTGGCCATGAGTGGTAAACACTTTAAATAAGCAACAAGTTGACATGTATTTTTCTCTGCTTAATTTGCTGCAGCATATGGACCTGTCAGTACCCATCAGAAGCATTGTGTTCCCCCGAGTCCCTGTTCATAGAACCACAGTGTTTCCACATTGTCCACAGCAGCCCTTCCCACCAAGGGAACTGGGGTACAAAGAGGCTCCATGCTCTGTCCCAAGGCTGCACATGTAAACTGACATTTGTTTCCAAAACAAGCCGGAGCAGAACCTTTCAAAGTAATGCGTGTTGCCGTGTATTCTACCTCAGTAAAAAACAAAAAGAGCCCCCCTGCACCAGGCTCAGGGTTTACCAGACCAGCGTGGCTGTGAAGCCCTATGTGGTCAGTGCTCTTTGGCCACCCTGTCTTCCTTCCCAGCTCTGGCCCAGACAGACCTCAGACGCTAGAAACCCCGGCCTTGAGGCTGAACTGGCTGGCAGAGAGCCTCCAAAAGGCATGGGAAGCAGGTGCAGCGAAGTGGACACCCAGCTGCTGGGGCGAAGTGCAGACCACATGTGGGCTGGGAGAGCACCCCAGGAGCTGGAGGAGGGGACCTGGCTGCTCGGGGGTGCTGGGATTTGTGGCTGCAGGCATCCTACCATCCATCCACTGGGCCCCAGCCACTGCTAGGTGTACACACAAGACCCTATCCTCTGGAGTCCCTGGTCTGGTGTGCAGGGTAGAGAAAACGGCATGTAAACACAGTGACGAGAGGGAGTTCGCCTCAGCCGGGAAGAACAAGTGCACAGAGGGCAGTGGTAGAGGGCAGCTCAAGACACCCCTGTAGCTGAGGTGTGTGTGGGAGGCCTCACGCTGGAGACCTCGATGCTAATCCTGAGCAGCGGGTGGTTTGTTTGTGTCCCATCGTCCCCCACCCCACTCCCCTGGACAGTTTCAGAGATGCTTTGAGTTGTCCGATGTGGCTAGGAGGTGGGGGGCTGGGCGATCCTGCTGGCATCTAGTGAGCGGCTAGAGGCCAGGTGACCGACGCTGACCGTCTGTTGTGCATGGGCAGCCCCCCGCTACACACACACCCGTAGTCGTCGGGCCGCAGTGTCAGTTACGTGGACGTCCGGCAGCTCTGCTCTAGAGCATTGCATTAGGAGGAGAAAGAGCTGGACCTGGTTCTCACATGTGCGTTTGCTTGTAGAGAATTCCGTGAGGGTGATCAGTGGAAACTTTTGAAAGAGAACTGCCACACCTTCGGATAAAATTCCCTAGAACTGGAGTAGAAAAAAGCAAATAACGTGCTTGGAGCCAGGTATTAGCTGTGAGTGGAATCAGCTGTGGGAGGAGAGGGCCGGCCCTGCTGTGGAGCAGACACCCGGAGAGAGAAGCCCCTGTACGGTTGCCCCGTGGCACCTGAGCATGCAGCAGGACGCGGAGGCCGTCCTTCCTTACGCTGAGGAAGGAGGCTAGCCATCCTGCTACGGGAGGTCTAAGAGCCTTTAGCCACTGCGCTAAGGCCCAAGTGGCCTTCTGAGGAAGCATAGGCTTTGGAGTCAGGCTACAGCTCTGTGACCTTGGCAAGTTACTGAACCCCTGTTTCCTTACCCATCAAAAGTGGGGTAGTGGGGCCAGCAGGTGGCCTGGTGTTTAAGACAGCTGGATCCCACAAGGCCAGCGAAGGGGTTTGAGTCCTGGACCCGAGGCTTTGAAGAGATGCCAGATGTGTGTGTGTGCACGCCCAAATTCCCGAAAGGTGGGAGAGAGAGAGGAGGGGTTGCCGTGTGGCTATTTCCTATGGGAGGTGCTTCCTCATTTTCTCTTTCCC